GCCCGCCTTCGGTCACCTCAAGAGAGAAGCCGCCATCTTGCCCGGGGGACGATCTTTCCGCCGCGGCGGAGCGGAAGCAGCGCCTGATGACGTCACCGCCCGACTTCCGTCGCCGGTGGAAGAAGGGCGGAAGTCAGGGGAGCTCGGTTTCACCCACGTGCGGTGGGAAAAGGAAGCCGGGCGGGGGAGCGGGGCTGCGCCTGCCCTCCAGAGGCTGTTGATTGCAGTCCCCATAACTCCCAGCCGGTGATGGGGGATGTTCCCCGAAACAACCTTGGAAGGGCGCACCGCATATCCCTCTGCCGCCCTTGTTAGCAAAATTTTGCTAACACCCTCTCCTGCTGAGCATGTGCAGAGTGCTTTCACAGCGTAGTATTTTGTTACAGCAGATGTGAACGTTGCGGTGCTTTCACCTTTTGGCGTCTCACAACAATACCCCTGAGCATGTGCAGAGTGCTTTCACCCTGTGGCATCTTACAACAATACCCCTGAGCACGTGCAGAATGCTCTTAGGTTTGGATTACTTTGAGCAGGTACCTTGTGCCTGTATATCCTGATCTGGATTCCTCTGAGCATGTGTAACACACCTTCTATATTATTATTATTATTATTATTATTATTATTATTATTATTATTATATTTATATTGTTACATTTTTATATTCTGCCTTTTTCCTGAAAGTACAAAAGAAAGTAGGTCTCTCCACCCTCCACGTGAGGTGAGGTTCAATTCACTCACCATCCAAACCATGATAAACCCAACCATTATGGTTTGTAAGCCGTAATTCGTGGCTAGTTGTTACATCTGAACTCAGCCAGCTGTGGTTTAATCAACAGGTCATGGCTAAGTCAAAAAGCTCCTCTTCTGATTCATAGTCATGCGAGTCCCTTGCTTCCTTCTAGCCCAAGAAATATTTCTAGAAGAGTTGCCAAATTTCTTGCAATCGCTGTCGTGGCAAGACAATTAATTACATAGCAATTTTGTTAATTTGCTTTCCCTAAGCTAATTCATATTCCCTGACTTTTAAATAACCTTCAGTTACTTTCCAGATAGTCTGAATACATGCGGTATCTTATTCTTCTACGCCTCATCCTCTAACTGTAAATTTAATCAGGACAAAAATCCTTTTATTAATTTTTTAAAAAAATTCCGGCTTCTTCTCTTTGCTCTTACTTGAATGAATTGTATTTATATTGTATTGTATGGCTGGATATTGGTCTTCAGCGACAAATAAATGTTAACTAACTAACCGTGGCGTTACCTGATACGTGAAGCCTTTCCAACATTTGGACCTGACTCCCAATCTGACTCATCAAAAGCAGATAGAAGTCTCTGACAATCACATTGAACATTCCTTCTGGACGATGGCATTCACAGGTACACTGTGCCTGGCCAGAGAGGCTCTACGGCCTTTGCTCAATTGCGCATTGGATCAATCCTGCTTTACTTCCTTCCTTTCCCACGGAAAATGGGCTCCTGAGCAACAGTTTGCAAGCCCCCCTCTTCCAACGGCCCACTTCTGACTTGGCGATGCCGAGGGAGAGCACAGAACGTGCCTTTGTGTTTTCTGGAATGTGGGGCGCCTACCGAAATCTGGGACTCTCTGCTGAAATGGTGGCCTGAAAGCAAGATTTTGAAAGATTGGCAGGCAGGGGCAAGGGGGGTGGGGGGGAAACTATTTGCACCTTAATTGTTTTATCTCACCATGATGAGAGGTGTCTTGCTTATAGCACACGCCAGACAACGTCTGAAAGTGGTTTGCTCTAGCATCCTTGCTTTTAATACCCAGGTCAGTTGTGATTTCCCTGGATTGCCCCCTGCAACAGGATTCAAAAACGTGGTGCTTTTTAATTCTGCAAAAGAAGATCCGTGCTATTTTCCTAACCGAGAAAATCCAGCTCAAGAACATTTTTCTAGGTGGGTTGTAATGGACTAAGTGTCGTCGTGAATTTACGGTCCTGTGGATCTCACTAGCTGGAAGGAAGCCCTCGGCTTGGGACAGCTGCACCCTTGTGTTTTGCAATTAATCCTGCCCAAATTCTGTTACCAGGACTGACCATTTTTCATGTATTCCTCCTCTGCAAAATTGCACACCTCTGATCAAGACGCCTTAATTGCCCAGCTTTTTTGCGGCCTGTTGGATACTGATCTGCTAAATCTTCACTCCGTCTTCTGATGCTCTGGCATTATTGATCAAAGGCAATACGCTTAATTGCTTGCGATCTACGCTAGGCTGCTTCATTTCATCTTTTTTTTTTTTCCTAAGCTGCCTTGTGGATCCTCCTGGGTCTGAAAATATACTTGCTGTGGAAATGAAAAAAACATTATTTAGGAGAAAGTCGCACTGTGTTCAATGAAGGCCGTGTCCCCCCCTCCCCAAAAATCCGGGGTATCAATTAGAGAATATTAGTTATTACAGCATTGCTTTTAACCACTTTTATTTATTTTTCATTGTGTTCTGTATAAATTTTGTGGTTTAATAACTCAGGATTGTTAGGGCTGGAGCAGAGGAATAAATAAACTCCCACATCTTCGGTTTAAGTTGGCAGCCCAACTAAGTGTAATATCCCCAGCAGGACAAAACCTTTATGCACATATTGGATTTTTTTTTAAAATGGATAAACGTACATATAATTTAGCTGTGCCATTTGTAGGAGGTTCAATAAAGGCTACGAGTCCTTTTGCAGTGGTAGGTGCAAACAACAGAGCAAAAAGTTCATCGATCAGGCGACCCAAATGCAACAGAATTTTTTTTTTAGTTTTTTTTTTTAATCCCACCTTTATTATCTTTATAAATAACTCACGGCAGTGAACACAGCTAATACTCCTTCCTCCTCCTATGTTCCCCACAACGCCAGTCCTGTAAAGCGAGTTTAATTAATAATAATGAATTAATAATTCATTGAATTGAGTTTAATTGAACTCCCCGGCCCTTCGTTCAGGGTAAAGGAATCCCTGGAAAGCAGAGGCGAAACGAACCGATGGTTTGGTGGATCGGTTGCACCTCTAATAAAAATCCCAGAGGGATCCTGGCTCCGGATGAAGGCTCTGCTTTTCAGGAGGCGAGAAAAGCGGCATTTTTCAGAGGCTGAGCCCTCACCCACAGCTTACAAAGAATGCAGCCTCTTTCCCCAGCTATGCCCGCGTTGATCCAAGTTCAACAACAGCCACCATAAATGCAACCTTTTATGTTTTGTTCTCTTGGGGGGGGGTTCATCCCCTCCTTCCCCCCCTCCTTCCTTCTCCCCATTGCTTCGCTCCCCTGGAAGCCCCATGCCACCTTCTCATTGGTTCCAGATTTCTGCAGAGATGGCACCCTTTGGGGCAGGCGAGTTCTTAAGCCAAGGTTGCCCCCCTCTCGGGCATTATACGGGAAGGCATTGTTGAATTTGCCACCAGCTCTTCCCCTCCATGCGGCTGGGCATTGGACAATAACCCAAGAATGGGGATCCCAGCCAACGCGGGAAGGGCCAAACCCTTCCTGTTTTCAGTGCTGATGTCTACAATGGGTAAGTTGCATTCTCCAGGGAAAGGTTTCAGAGTTGGGACGATCGCGAAGATCCGTAAGTACAACGTCTCCGCTCTGCCGTCTCCGATCTCGCAGTTTTCCAGGTGTTTCCAAAGCATGATGAAAGTCTCCTCTCAACTTCCCCTTCCCTGGGCGAAATCTCACTGGCTTTTTCACCCTTTCCTGACAGGGGGTCATTTAGGGGTAGACTGCCTCTGAAGGTGGAGGCTCGGCCCCGGGTGTAGAGTGTGGAGAACCAGCCCCGAGCTTCCTCTCCTGAGATTTCATGCATTCCTAAGATGATTTCCACAGCATCATTTTGTTGTTTTGTTATCTGTGTCCAATGTTCAGCTTCTCTCCCTGGAACTGCAGCATAGGCTATGTAGTTCTACCGCCCTCTGCAAGCTTGCTAAATCCTTTTTTCGTCGTTATTCAGAGGTCTAAAGCAGGGGCCATCGCCGTGTGGCCGAGACTTTCATCCCCAAAGCACATCCTGCAGAAAATA